ATACCGGCGGATGGGGTGCGCCCACACCTCCCGGACCCATACAACACATGCAACCGCAGCAACAGCGCCGACCGCCCGGACAGGGATTCAATATGAGACCGGTATGTGTGTCTCACCACTCGTGTGTACAGTCATTACCGTATGTATTGATGTTTTGACAGCACTTGCAGCCCATGTCTGGGCCGACCGGCAAACGGGGCAATCAAGGGGGCGGTTGGGAGGGGCCGCCCAACAAGCGCTTCAATAATAATAAGGGCAATCGCGGCGGTGGACAGGGAGGCGGCAATTGGCGTCAAGGGGGCGGACATCCAAACAAACAGAACCGGAACTTCAATAACCGAAACAATAACCGAAACAATAGTAATAATCGGGAACTAAACCGAAGCAAACAAAATGATACACAACTGGAAAGAGTATGTCTTTTACTATCCATTCAGTCGTTTGCCTTTTAAATTGCGCTCAAATTGCGATTATAGTCCATGTCTATCATTTCACTCTAATATTTCTTATGACAAACTATTTATTAGTTTTTTAAACACAACACTTAACTCTTCACAAATTAGTTCATTATTTGTGGAATAGTTTTGTATTTTTTTTAATGTTTTTATTGATAACTATATGATTGATGACTTGAAATTTGCGCTTAAAATTCAAGTCTTCAAAGTGATTGTGATATTAATATTCAGGTAATTATGAGTAGACTTCAGGTAATTGACTATTGGGTAGACTTAACGCTGCCCTTAATGTCTGACTAATTGTCAACTAATAATAATATGAAAATAGTATCAAATCAATGATGATATATGAACTTAATTAACAATATAATTGCAGTCNATTAATATTCAGGTAATTATGAGTAGACTTCAGGTAATTGACTATTGGGTAGACTTAACGCTGCCCTTAATGTCTGACTAATTGTCAACTAATAATAATATGAAAATAGTATCAAATCAATGATGATATATGAACTTAATTAACAATATAATTGCAGTCAATTTGCCACATACTGTGTTGACTGAAATGCAATTAATTTAATAAGATATTGAATTTAATGAATTAATTAAACCCTGAAGAATAATTATTAGACTATATGCTGATCTCTGGCCACAAATAGCACTGAATTATCTGATAATGCATATGATAATTGATTTGATCAATGAATTTGAAAGCAATGACAACCAATTGATTGTTTCAAATGAAGAATTTAATAATTTTCAATAAAACTGCTTTCAAAGTGCAAACTATTTAAGAATTTGCCAAAAATTCACTGAATATGTGGCTATGAATGAAAGCACTGGCACTCACTTTGTAAGCACTTTCGGAAAGTCTTTACAACAAACACTGGATCCATATACTGATACACTCATTGTTTGGCCATAATTTTAATTAACATTTATATTCAGCACTAAAGTTATTCATCGATTGGATGGCATTTTCTGGACATACCTATTGGTAATAAAGAGTACGTATTTGAATAATCATTTTTAAAAACTTTTTACTAAATTAAACTTAAATATTAACGAATACATTTGTATATATAATTGTATGTAAACATTTTAGTTGTACAATATTTCGCAAAAACAATTGTAAATATTTATTAAACTTAAATAATTTGAATGACTTTTTAGAGATAATTACCGAATGTATTGATAAGTAAATTGCTTTTGTAATGATTAGTTTAATTATGAAAAATATATATAACTTTTTATATATTTATTGATTGCAAAGAACTAATTGATGATAATATCTATGTATCACTTATTTTCCAGACAAGGAATTCCCAAATAGACAATGGATTCTCGGCATTGCATATAATATCAGCCCTTTATATGCCTTCATATAAATCCAATTCATTTGCCATTAAATTATCGTATTTTGCTTTTAAATACGAGACCATTAACTCTTGTCTTAAAGTTTGTTTAAATGATTAAATAATACCATCCATTGAAGGGCTGGCGATAATCAACACAATGTGACTAATGATTTGAATTCAAATTTTTGTTTTGAATTTTTCTCATATTTTTAGTGAAACTTAAAAAGCGATCAATTCTTTGGAATTGATTTTCAATTTGAGACTAAATGAAACACAACTTTAAGACATTTTGATTACAACTATTCAAACGATTATGTAATTGAAAAAGTGATAAAACTGTGAAAATTGAGGTTTATTTGATAATACCTTAATTTATGATAACTATTGGAAACTACGAATCAAATGACTATAAGATTTTAATATTATTTGTGCCGTGAATTGACATGAATTTATAAATTGTATTTTCATGCAAACAAAATGCTATACTTTGTATGGCATACATATTCTCAACCCGTAAAATATGTCTATTAAAAACCCTTGAAAACTTGAAAAATTAATTTTTCAAACAAATATTGAATATAATTTTCTATATAAAACTGTTTAAAGCCTGCGATTCTTTGTCCAAAGTTTTTATTTTTAACTTTTATGCGAAATTCAATTAATTATTGTTTCTTATTTTAGCGCCGCTTTAGTTTAGTTTACGATTAATTGTTTTTTGTTTGCAATTTGTAATTAATTTCTATTTGAATTACTTATAGCGACAACAACACGATTTGGCCCAAAAGTCTGCAGAATCTCTCGTCAATAAGGTTTGTATTTTATATGAAAAATATTGTATTCAGTATTCAATACTAAATTTAATACATTTGATGAATGTCTTAGGAATATCCGATTGAGGCGACCCCTACTACTACCACCACTACCACTACTACTACTACGACCCCCAAAGCGGATGACGACAAAAACAAGAACCTGGACATCGATGCGGCCCAAGAAAAGTATTTGTTGGCTGTGTTTGGATACGTTTGCCGTAAGTGTCTATAAATGACTAATTGATGAATTGTTGGACTCATTTCGTGATTGCATGCGTTTGGCAGAGGTTTGCAGTGTATTCCTGAAGGACAAGAGCGCTCGTTTCGATCACTGCCACAGCGAAGACCACTTAAAGAAGTTCAATGCGGCAGAAGAGGAGCGCATTAAGAAAGAGGAGTCGGACAAGAAAACTACAGACACTTCTGCCACCACTGCTACCGATGCACAGAAAGTGAGCACTGATAAGAAGACTCCAGAGGTTGAAAACGGAGATAAAACCGATGCGAAAGACAATCAAACTGTCGCAGAGAATGCAGTCGACGCTAATGCAAAACCAAGTGATGAACAAAAAGAGCCCAATAATCCACCGGAAGGTTAGTTATCGATATTCTTTGTCGTGTCACTCGAGGAATGATTATATTTTTTCATTAGTTCTTTAATTACATTTTTTGCCACTTTTTGAACGCTTTATTATTTAAATTTCCGAGTTTTTCTGTAAATAAATTATGTTTTCATTGATTGCATTGTTTTGTATGTGTTTTATACGTGTTGTTAGAAATAAAATCTGAAGAGAAGGCAGTCATTGCAGACCAACTCAATGACGGAAAGGATGATAAAACTGTTGAATCCAATCCCCCAACAGGTGCAGCCGAAACGCCAGCCCCAGCCCCAGTCCCTACAGCCGTTGCTGTGGCTCCCGTGACTCCCGTTGCGCCGGCACAGGCCAACCAACCCATAAATAACTACTCGGGCGGAGACTTTAACCAGAATAGAGGCCGCGGTTATCAGAGAGGAGGAAGAGGTGGAAATCAAGGCCGAGGCCGTGGTGGGGGTCGGGGACGCAATCGCGGTCGTGGCCGCAAATGATTGACCCGAACGCTCGCTTTCCCATGAATTTGAGTGTTGACTGATCTGACTCTCGCTTTTGAGATTACTTTTAGAGAAAATCGTCGAATTTGAGACCAGTTTCTACTCATTTTACTTATATTTCAACAGTAATTTTCGCACACATTTTGTTTGATCACTTAATTTAAATAATAGCGTTTAGTTTAAGTTGTATTTTTTATCTCATTTTTGTTTTTATATTTTTACTTCATTTACATTTACCGTAGAAATAATTGCCCAAATCATTGATTAGTTGTGTCGACCACTTCACCAATACAATGAGTGTTTAGAAATCATTGATTTGTCTAATGTTTTATTTATTTAACGAATTTTGGTTCCGGAAATAACTTAACAATTAATTTAATTATAGAACAAATTAATGGTATAAATTAATCACTCATTTAACGCATGCTTTCATTTATAAATTAATAACAATTATACAGTAATTATAATATAAGAATTGATGTTTGTTTTTGCGATTCATAACCAAACGTATGGTTAAGAATATGTGTGTATTTATTATGACATTTATATATAAAATATGGAAATCATTTCGATTTCGACGAATTGAGTGAATTTTCTTTAATTGTCGGGAAATCGATGCCATTTCGAGGCAATGGAGAGCTCACTAATGGGGACAAGAGTATAGCCGCCACCCAATTGGGCCCTAAGTTCTCGACCACATTGGCCTTCCAATGGCCTAAACTGTATTGAGTGATGCCTTTGTTCTTCTCATAAGTGGTCTGATTGTTGATCATTAGCTTCGAGTGATAGTAGAGAAGACTTACGCCGAACAGAAATCCGCACAAATCGACGATTGCTATGAATGTGTAGACCATTACTGGGAATGATATTCGTCCGAATAGCCAGAAGGGGAACGGCAACAGATGATTGGCAACTGTTATCCAACTGAATCCTCCCAGTGCTTCCCAAACGAAGAATTGGTTCAATACTGTGGCGTAAAAGCCGCCGATTCCTACGTATAGCAGTAATCCGTAATAAAATCTATTCATTTGAGAAATAAAATTAATTTTTTGAACACTGCTCTCATTTTATGAACAAATGTCTAAAACTATACCTAAAGTTCTTATAACCGATACAACAACCTATGAATCGAGAGGTGTGTTAGAAATGAAGTGAAATATCTTATAAATCTCTGTGTAATACCACTGAAGACGCAGTGATGGTCTCTCTTGAGTACGCATTCATCGCATATCTGGCAGTGATAGGATCGCGGAGGAGAGTTACCCTCACAGACC